TATCTTCATTACCTTACTCTATCTGTTGTTCACTGTGAATGTTGTATAATTGTGCATATTTAAATCCATATAAATGTCCTACATTATTGAGTATCCAATAATCCTCAAAACAGAACTCATCATCTGTCCAAGTCTGATAAGTGCCTTCTCCTGTTCTATTAGTTATCATTTCCAATTTTGCCACTTCTTTCATATCTAAAATGTCAAGTTCCAAACTCCCATTCCCTACACAATTTTCAAATTAAAAAAAAAAAAAAGTATTTGCCCTTTTACTTCTTTCTCTCCCTTCAGTCCAGATGGAATTTTTCAATGTGAATGTAATTCTATCAATTTCCACTTTTTTCAGGGAGGAAACTGATTCAGTAATTTGTATGTATCCAGCTCCCTTCTCTTTAATGCTTTAATAATATAGACCACAGATGTTAAAACTAATTTAAATTTCAGGGGAAAAGTCTAACTAGACTAGTTTTGCTCAAGTTTTACCCAGAGAAGGCAATGCACTTTGTTTTTGTGGGTTTTTGTTTAAATTAAAAAAATAGCTATCTGAGTATAGCTGACACACAATATTACATTAGTTTCAACTGTACAACAAAGTGATTCAACATTTCTATACATTATGCTACACTCGCCACAAGTATAGCTACCATCTGTCACCATCCAACATTATAACAGTGTCATTGGCTATATTCCATCTGCTGCCCCCTTTATTCCCATGACTTATTCATTCCATAGTTGAAATCTGTATCTCCCAGTCCCCTTCACACATTTTACCCATCCTTCACTCTCTTCCCTCTGGCAACCATAAGTCTGTTGGGTTTTTGTTTACTCATTTGTTTTGTTTTTTAGACTTTACATATGAGTGAAATCATATGATATTTGCTTTCTCAGTCTGACTTATTTCACTTAGGATAATATTCTCTAGGTCTATACATGTTGTTGCAAATGGCAAGATCTCATCCTATTTTTAGAGCTGAGTAATACTCTATTATGTGTGTGTGCGTGCATCTTTATCCATTCATCTATCCGTAGGTACTTGAATTGCTTCCATAATTAGGCTATTGTAGATAATGCTGCAATAAACATAGGGACACATATATCTTTTCAAATTAGTGTTTTCGTTTTCTTTGGGTAAATACCCAGTAGTGACATTACTGGATCATATGGTATTTCTATTTTCAATTTTTTGAGGGGCCTCCAAACCATTTTTCATAGTGGCTGAATCAGCTTGCATACCTACCAACAGTGCAACACAAAGGTTCCTTTTCCTCTTCATCCTTGCAAACACTTGTTATTTCTTGTCTTTTTGATTTTAGCTATTCTGACAGGTGTGAGGTGATATCTCACTCTAGCTTTCATTTGTATTTCCCTGATGATTAGTGACACAACATCTTCTCATGTGTCTATTGGCCATCTGTATATCTTCTTGGGAAAAATGCCTGTTCAGGTTATCTGCCCATTTAAAATCAGATTTTTATTTTGTTTTGTCTTGATATTTTGGTGTTGAATGGTGTAAGTTCTTTATGTATTTTGGATATTAACCTGTTATCAGATATATCTTTTGCAAATATCTTCTCCCGTTTACTATGTTGCCTTCTGTTTTATCGATGGTTTTTTCACTGTGCAAAAAGCTTTTTATTTTGAGGTAGCTGCAACAGTTTATTTCTGCTTTTGTTTCCCTTGCCTTAGGAGGCATATCTAGAAATATGTTGCTATGGCCAATGTTAGAGAAATTACTGCCTCTGTTCTCTTTTAGGATTTTTATGGTTTTAGCTCTCACATTTAGGTCTTTAATCCATTTTGAGTTCATTTTTGTGTACGGTGTAAGAAAGTGGCCCAGTTTTCCCAGCACTGTTTATTGAAGAAACTGTCTTTTCCCTATTGTATATTCTTGGAAAGCAATGTACTTTGAGACTTTTACCCAAGTCACATGTAATCATCCAAAGAAAAATTAGTGTTGTTGCCAGAAAAAAAAAAGAGGTAGAGTCCTAGTTAGAAAGCCTTTCCCTATCCCAGTTTAAAGGGGGATCCACCTGTTTTCTGCCAGTATTTGTGTGGTTTCATTTTTTATATTTACATTTATACCACTGTGCTAAATTCATATAGCACATAAAGGGTGGATGTGAGATATCAACTGGGATAAGCCTAAAACCAAAAGTCTTTATGCCATATCATTAGCATCTCTCTAACTTGATTACAGATCATACTGTTTTAGTTATTTATTTTTGCTCTTCTATCTCCAATTCTACAGGTTGTTTTCCCTCCCTGTTTTTAACAAAAGACAAACATGAACATTTTAAAAAGTAATAGCTCTGATTTAACCCACGGCTTATATATATATACAACCCAAAAACATTCCATTTCAAAGACAGGTTTTTTAAATTCATTCTGTTCTAAAGAATTTTTTATTGTTCCCCGACAATGTTAAGGAAAATCAATTCTATTCTCACCACCCCAACGATATGCTCTCACCATGTCTCTGGTTAAGAAGTTAATGCTCTCATGGGGTGCCTAGGTGACTCAGTCTGTTAGGGGTCTGACTTCAGCTCAGGTCATGACCTCACGTTCGTAATTTCGAGCCCTGCATCAGGCTCTGTGCTTACAGCTTGGAGCCTGGAGCCTGCTTTGGATTCTGTGTCTCCTCCTCTCTCTGTCCCTCCCCAACTCATGTTCTGCCTCTCTCTCTCTGTCTCTCTCTTTCTCCGTCTCTCCCTCTCCCTCTTCCTCTCTCAAAAACAAACAAACAAACAAAAATTTAAGAAGTTAATGCTCTTGACCACTGCCTATTTTGAAGGCTTTTAAGTCAAAAAGTAGTGACTATGAAACTTTGGATAAGCACCTGTTTTCACTGGGCTTCTCTATCTTCATTAATAAGCTACCTTGACATTCATGGTTTTCAAACTGTATCTTAATAATCATACAATCAGAAAAAAAGACTGCCACTCCAACGAGAATTTTTTGCTATTTGATGTGCACATGTATTTCCCAAAGTTTTTTTGAACTTGCAAAGTTTACGGAAACATTCCAGAGACTGTTGGTTACCAACAGACTATTTGTTATCAACTTTTAATTTTGTACCACAAGGAGATATTTTTTAGACTGCATATTGCATGTTTTTGTGCTGATGCTCTATTTAAAAAATAATATCTTATAAGGTGCCTGGGTTGCTTAGTTGGTTAAGCATCTAACTCTTGGTTTTGGTGCAGGTCATGATTTTATGGTTTGTACGTTCGAGCCCCACATTGGGCTCTGTGCTGACAGTTTGGACCCTGCTTGAGATCTCTCTCTCTCACTCTCTCTCTGCATCTCTCTCTCAAAAATAAATAAGCTTAAATATTTTTTCAAAAAGAATATTTTATAGAGAACAAACTGATAGTTACCAGAGGAAAAGTGGGTAGGGGGATGGGTGAAATCAGTGAAGGGAATTAAGAGTACATTTAACATGATGAACACTGAGTAATGTACAGAATTGCTCACTAACTACATTGCACATCAGAAACTAATATGACAATATGTTAATTACACTGAAATTAAAATTAAAAAAAATAAAATTTAATAAGTAAAAAGATAAAATAAAAATATTTAACTATAAAATAAACAAGAAATAAAAATAAAGTCCTTTTATTGAATAATGTAGCCTTCATAATCTATTTTCAACAACTGATTAATTTAGACTCATGAATAAACCATCACCTAGATAAATGTCTAGGTTGAGCACTGGCACATAGGTGATCTGTGCTTTTCCACCTGTGTGCCAGAGCTAACACTGCCCCTCACACCTGTATTAGTTTCTTCATGGTCTGGTATAGTTCTAGTTCTGATTCTACCTTAAGGACCACACACAAGCTTCTGTGTGAAACTAATCCTGAATCTCACCTTCAAACTTTCTCTCTTATTCCCAATCAGAATGAAAATTAAAATTTAGATCTAGAAAAACATTTGACAGAAGAGTCTCCTCATTTGCAGTTGAGGTAACAGAGTCCTAGAGGAAATGATTTATAAAAGGTGATGAATTTTGAGAATAACAAAGTATGGCCTAATGACCACTGCTTCTGTTATGTCCAATTCTCTGCCTATGATTATTTCCTTTTTAGGCTAAGAAAGGGTACATATCATGTCCAGGATCACCCAGTTACTAAGTCATAGATCATGGATTCAATCACTCATTATTATATCATATTCACTAAAGCACTACCTCACAGTCTACAAAGATGAGGATTTACTTGATACATGGTTGTGCTATTTAAGAAAAGATGAGAGGGGGGCGCCTGGGTGGCTTAGTCGGTTAAGCGTCCGACTTTCGCTTAGGTCATGATCTCGCGGTTCGTGGGTTTGGGCCCCGCGTCGGGCTCTGTGCTGACTGCCAGCTCAGAGCCTGGAGCCTGTTTCAGTCTGTGACTCCCTCTCTCTCTGACCCTCCCCTGCTCACACTGTCTCTCTCTCTCCTAGAAATAAATAAAACATTAAAAAAAAAAATTTAAAAAAAGAAAAGATGAGAGGATTCCACTAGGCATGAACGAAATCACAAATTCCTCTCATTTCTCATAGAATTTGAACTCAATGTTATGACACTCTGTTCTATATAGCACACATCTAAATACTTCTCTGGAAGGAAGACATGCACTTCACAGGGAGATGGGTCAGTGCACTAGAAACCAAGGGAGCACTGTTCAGGAGAAAGTCCCTGTTACTGGGAGACATTCTCAGCTGTAAGTTAGGTGACTACTTATAGCATAATCTTTCTGAGGCTGCCACTCAATCATCAACAATCTAAACATCTAAATCCTCCCCAATACATTAATCCCATGGTTTATTTGTAAACTAAGAGAATCATGCTTGTTTATAACCCAGAGATATGAAAATAGGTCTTTCCTTAACAACCCTGCACACTGTGATTCAATTTCTACTAATCTCCATTTGGGGCATGCAAGAGCCTTAATTCTGACACCTTATCTGATTCAGAAAAAAGATGAGCTGAATCTCTTTAATCCCTGTTGGTACAGGATGGAGGAGGCCTTTTCTACTCTTGCATGGAGGATATTTATGTGACTGAGCTGGAGAAGCAGGTGACTGGATTTTAAAGGACTGATGTTCCTGATGAGAAGGCAGAGTGTGTCTTCAAATCAGAAACTTGCTCCCCACAGCGTTCACAGCCAGAGGCCTTGCATTAAATATGGCAAAGCCTCAACAAGGTACAGCAATATTCTGAATAAAGAGAATACAATTTAACAGAGCAGAGATCTTTTATAGTATTAGAAAGGAAGATGAAGTTAGAACCCTCACTGCCCAGGATCTTGCAGTTAATCCTTTCTTGAACTTTAATCTAAGGCAATTCTAACATGTGCAACAGATAATAATGGTAGAACCACTCTGCTTCAACAGAATAGGATCGTGTAACTCTGACCCTCATGTCCCATGGCACCTTCTGATGGTTCTATAGGAGCCCATTCAGACCCTGTGGACCACAGTGTAAATACATCTAGGCTAGAAACAGAACTTTAATCTTTAACGTTAGACAGAGAACTTTTTGTGGGCAGCTAAATGATATGTGGAAAAAAAATCCTAGTCCATCCCCAAGTATCCATGGTTAAAGAGATTTGTAGCAATCACAGTGCTTGCACTGGCAGAAAAGTGCTTTCCAGTCCATAGGATGAAAGTCTGAATAAAATTCTCTGGATTCCCCAGCTCTCAGGAGCAGAGATCAATAAAATTTAAAAAGCCAGAGTCACATAGGTGGGTCTGAGTTATAAGAGTTCATTCTGTGAACATGATAACTGAATTCTTCATATGTGGAATCAAGCCACAGGCTGTTGGAAATTACCTTTGTATGCAACCTCTGCTTAAAGAGAAGATATACAAATATTCTGTTCCCCTTACTTTTGGTTATTTCAATAGATCAGGCCCCATGCCATGGTGATCTTCAACTGGAATCAGTCTGCTCACCATCTACAAGTCAGAAGTACTTTCATGAATGGCAATTACAGAGAAACCACTCTCTGGCATAAGGTAAGAGTCAATGAAATAAAACCCTGCTCTAAATATATTCCCCTATTGAATGTCATGTTGCCTGACTGCATGATATCTGAAGCATATTTCCTTCAGCTTTTAACATTTTGAAATGCATTGTTCTAGTCTTTCTTTGGGGCATCAGGGAAATTTATGTCAGGACATAATCTCCCTAGTATCCATAGAAAAAAAAAATTCTTGCTCTTGGAGTGAGGATATAATGATTTGATAACAAAATCTTGGAGATTTTTTGCCAAGGATTCTATCTCCTTCTGTTTTCAGCTATAACAAACTCAAGAGACTAAACCCCAGCTGTAAATATGAATTGCATACCAAAAGAAAATACCCTTTGCTTTTTCTTAAAAGTGCTAGGCATTGGAGAAGAAAAATGAACATTTCCAATGTTGGGACAGCAAACAAAAGCCCATATTCATTAAAAGTTAATGATGTAGGATACAGATAATGAGCAACAGAAACAGAATTCATAGAAACATATTATCCTTCTGACGCATGGCAAAATTTAATGCATAATCAACAGTACTCAACAGTCCCAGGGTCTATTTTTATCCCAGTGCCTTTAAACCTCAAAATCTATTAAAGATTCATGATCTCCAAGCCATGTGTTCTCTACAGTTAGAAACAGTTATGGCATATGAGTAAACTACTTGCTAATAGAAACAATATTTTGCATTGTGATAAATACAGCACCGTTTTGCATAACATCACTCACTCATTCTGTAAGCACTAAGTGAAAGACAGTAAGTTTGTGTGCACTTGATTAAGCAAGAAAAGCACAGAGCCAGCTTTAAGAGACTTGCATTTACCTTGAAAAAAAAAAGAAAATATAAACACTCCATATCATATTAGATTGGAGAATATTCAAAGTTAAGAAAAATTCAGTAATCAGCTAACTCAGTCTTCCCAGGAAGAGGAAATAATGACTTCAGAGGTTCATTGCCTAATGGTTGGTAAGCATTAGAATCCAATTCCTGTCTTACATTGACTTGTGCTCTTTCAACCATATCACATTCTATCTGCTGTCTGAGAGTACATAGTAAAAGTTTGATGTTACACACCCACCAGAATTTCTGTATACATTCAATAGCCTTCCCCCTTGTTGTCCAAGTCCCACAAAACATAAAGTTAGTATGGGAAATAATGCCAGTATTGTTTTTCTTAAAATACCAACAATCAGTGGCTTTAACAACTCAAGAGATGGACAACATATTTTTTTTAACTGAGACTCTCTCTCTCCAAATTCCCTCTCTTTTTCCTCAAGATCAGAGGAATGTGTTTGTTTTCACCACTATGATCATGTGGCCACTGTCTTTATTCGTTCTATTGGCTTGGAGAACATTATAGCACACATGAAAGCCCTTTCTAAATTCACCCAGCAATGGGGGCTCCTGGGTGGCTCAGTCGGTTGAGCGTCTAATTTCGGCTCAGGTCATGATCTCATGGTTTGTAGGTTTGAGCCCCACATCAGGCTCTGTGCTGAAAGCTCAGAACCTGGAGCCTGTCTTCAGATTCTGTGTTTCCCTCTTTCTCTGACCCATCCCTGCTCATGCTGTCTCTCTCTCAACAATAAATAAAACATTAATTTTTTAAATGCACCCAGCAAGACTTAAATGATAGCCTACAAACCTTGTTTTTATTGAACACAGAAATATCTGTAATGAGAAAAGATATTCTACAGAATAGGATGGTCTTGTATTTTATTACTGCCTCACAGGAAGTCACCTGTGCCATTATCTAAACACAGCATTGTATGTTCATACTCGATGAGTCTGCTAATAGATAATTTTTTATTAAATCACAAGAGAACATAAGTGAACACCATGAGTGATTCATCCTCCTGTATATGGGACTTAATACATCAGTGCTTCGAATCAGGGGGCTGTTGGTGGAAGAAGCTGTCACTGACTTGGCTGGAAATTCTGGTTTTATGCTTTTAGGCTGTCCCTTGTCATTTGGGTATTTTTCTTTTTTCTTTCCTTTTCTTCTTTTTATTTTTTTTTATTTTTATTTTTATTATTTGTTTTTCCCCCTTCCTGTTTTTTCACTTCTTTCATTTTCTTTTTCTTTTTCATTTTCCCTTTCAGTTTGCATGTTTGTTGGATTTGTCTGTGCATTTGTGTGTCTTTGTTACCTGTGTGTTTGTCTGTCTGTTTTCTTTTCCAGGACTACCTCAAGAAACAAGCCAAAGTACACATAGAGGAGAGTCCCAAATACCACTACGAGTATGGAAATAAAGTAACCAAAGTCTCAACAAGAGAGACCATGAGACAACATTCAAACAAGACTTCCTGAATGGACAGGCCATGGACAGTCAATGAGCCTTCTTTAATACAGCAGTACTCGCAGGTGCAGAGTGCATAACAAGCTTTTAAAACTAACAAGACACAGAAAGCTAGACAAAATAACGAAACGGAAGAAATCTCCTCTAAAGAAATTCCAGGAAGAAATGACAGTTAAAGAATTGCTCAAAACAGATATGAGCAACATAACTGAACAAGAATTTAGAACAATAGTCATAAAATTAATCATTAGGCGTGAAAAATAAGCATGGAAAACATCAGAGAAACTATTGCTACAAAGACAATGGTGCTTAAAAATAGTTGTGATGAATTTTAAAAAATGCTATAAATGAGATGCATAATAAAATGCAGGCGTCCAATGCATGGATTAAAGAGGCAGAGAGGTGAATAGGTGAATTTCAAGACACAATTATAGAAGAAGAGGAAGCTGAGAATAAGAGAGATAAACTGATGCAAGAAGATGAAAGGAGACTTCGAGAGCTGAGCGATACAATCAAATGGAACAATATCCATATCATAGGAATTCCAGAAGAGGAGGAGAAAGGGAAAGGTGCTGAAGGAGTCCTTGAACAAATTATAGCAGAGTACTTCCCCATCCTGGGTAAGGAAATAGACATTGAAATCGAAGAGGCACAGAAAACTCCCCTCAGACGTAACTTGATTCGATCTTCTGCATGATATATCATAGTGAAACTGGCAAAATATAAGGACAAAGAGAAAATTCTGAAAGCTGCTAGGGATAAAAATGCCCTAATATACAAAGGGAAACCTATCAGAGTGGTGACAGACCTATCTACTGAAACTTGGCAGGCCAGAAAGGAATGGCAAGAAATCTTCAATGTGATGAAAAGAAAAATATGTAGCCAAGGATCCTCTATCCAGCAAGCCTGTCATTCAGAAAAGAAGGAGAGATAAAAGTTCCCAAATAAACAAAAATTGAAAGAATTTCTCACCACTAAACCAGCCCTACAAGAAATCCTGTGGGGGACTCTCTGAGGGAAATGTTGCAAGGAAAGGAAGATACCAGAGACACGACCACAAGCATAAATCCTACAAAGGACACGATGACTCTAAACCTATATTTTTCAGTAAGAACACTGAATGGAAATGGACTAAATGCCCTAATGAAAAGACATAGGGTAGCAGAATGGATAAAAAACCAAAATCCATCTATTTGTTGCCTACAAGAAACTCATTTTAGACATGAGGACACCTTCAGATTGAAAGTAAGGAGATGGAGAAATATTTACCATGCTACTGGAAGTCAAAAGAAAGCTGGAGTAGCTATACTTATATCAGACAAACTGGACTTTAAAGACAGTAACAACGGATGAAGAAGGGCATTATATAATAATTACAGTGTCTATCCATCAGGAAGAGCTAACAATTATAAATGTCTATGCACCAAATATGGGAGGACCTAAGTACATAAAACAATCACAAAAGGAAACAATCTTATGGATAAGAATGAGCTAATATCAGGGGACTTGAATACTACACTTACAGCAATGGTTAGATCAACTAGACAGATACTCAATAAAGAAACAATGAACTTCAATGACACACTGGACCAGATGGATTTGACAGATATATTTAGAACTCTACATGGTGAGGTCATGGAATTCTTTCTTCTCAAGTGTGCATGGCACATTTTCCAAGATACATCATGTATCTTGGGTCATAAAGCAGCCCTCAATAAATATTTTTAAAAAACTGAGATTATACCATGCATACTTTCAGATCACATTGCTATGAAACTTGAAATCACAGGAAGAAGTCTGGAAAACCTCCAAAAACATGGAGGTTAAAGAACACCCTACTAAAGAATGAATGGGCCAATCAGGCAATTAGAGAAGAAATTGAAAAATATATGGAAACAAATTAAAATGAAAATACAATAATCCAAACTCTGTGGGATATGGCAAAGGCAGTTCTAAGAGGAAAGTTCATTGCACTCCAGGCCTATTTTAAGAAATTTTTAAAAATGCAAGTATAAAATCTAACAATGCACCTAAAGGAACTAGAAGGAGAGCAACAAGAGCACCCCAAACCCAGTAGGAGGAGAGAAATAATAAAAATCAGGGGAGAAATAAACAATTTAGAATACAAAAGAAAAAAAAAAACAGTAGAACAGATCAATGAAACCAAGATTTGGTAATTTGAAAAAATAAACAAAATTTACAAACCTCTAGTCACACTTCTCAAAAAGAAAAGAGAGAGCACCCAAAGAGACAAAATCATGAATGAAAATGGACTTATTACACGAACCCCTCAGAAATACAAGCAATTATCAGGGAATACTATGAAAAATTATATGCCAACAAACTGGACAACCTAGAAGAAATGGACAAATTTCTAAACAGACACCCTCTACCAAAATTCACACAGGAAGAGATAGAAAATCTGAACACACCCATAACTAGGAAAGAAATGGAATCAGTTAACAAATATGTCCCAACAAATAAGAGCCCTGGGCCACATGGCTTCCCTGGGGAATCCTACCAGACGTTTAAAACAGAATTAATACCCATTCTTCTCAAGCTATTCCACAAAATAGAAATCGAAGGAAAACTTCTGGACTCATTCTACGAAGCCAGCATCCCTTTGATGGATCTGGATAAAAAGAATTATCCACCATGATTAAGTGGGATTCATTCCTGAGTTACAGGGCCAGTTTAGTATTCACAAATCAATCAATGGGATACATCACATTAACAACAGAAAAGATAAAAAACATGATCCTGTTGATAGATGCAAAAAAATATTTGACAAGATACAGCATCCCTTCTTAATAAAGATCCTCGAGAAAGTCGGAATAGAAGGAACTTACTTAAACATCATAAAAGCCATCTATGAGAAGCCTTCAGCTAACATCATCCTCAACGGGGAAAAACTGAGAGCTTTCCCCCTGAGATCAGGAACATGACAGGGATGTCCACTCTCACCACTATTGTTCAACATAGTCTTGGAAGTCCTAGCATTAGCCATCAGACAACAGAAGGAAATAAAAGGCATCAGAATTGGCAAAGAAGAAGTCAAACTTTCACTCTTCGCAGATGACATGATACTCTACATAGAAAACTCAACAGACTCTACCAGAAGCCTACTAGAACTGATCCATGAATTGAGCAAAGTTGCAGGGTACAAAATCAATGTATAGAAATCGGTTGTATTTTTATATACCAATAATGAAGCAACAGAAAGAGAAATCAAGAAACTGATGCAGTTCACAATTGCATAAAAACCATAAAATTGCATAAAAACCATAAAATACCTAACCAAGATAGAAGAGATCTGTATGATGAAAACTATAGAAAACTTATGAAGGAAATTGAAGAAGACACAAAGAAATGGAAAAACATTCCATGCTCATGGATTCAAAGAATAAATATTATTAAAATGTCATTACTACCCAAAGCAATCTACACATTCAATGCAATGCCAATCAAAATTGCACCAGCATTCTTCTCAAAACTAGAACAAACTATCCTAAAATTTGTATGGAACCACAAAAATACCCTAAATGGCCAAAGTCATATTGAAGAAGAAAACCAAATTGGGAGGCATCACCATCCCAGACTTTAGCCTCTACTACAAAGCTGTCATCATCAAGACAGTATGGTATTGGCACAAAAACAGACACAAAGACCAATGGAATAGAGAACTTAGAACTGGACCCACAAATGTATGGCCAACTCATCTTTGACAAAGCGGGAAAGAGTATCCAATGGAAAAAAGACAGCCTCTTTAACAGATGGTGCTGGGTAAAATGGACAGCAACATACAGAAGAATGAAACTAGATCATTTTCTCACACCATACATGAAAATAAACTCAAAATGGATCAAGGACCTGAATGTGAGACCGGAAACCATCAAAACCCTAGAGGAGAAATCAGGAACTCAACCGCTGCAGTTTCTTTTTTTTTTTAATGTTTTTATTTTTTTAACGTTTATTCATTTTTGAGACAGAGAGAGACAGAGCATGCGTGGGGAAGGGGCAGAGACAGAGGGAGACACAGAACCCAAAGAACCCAAAGCAGGCTCTGATGCAGGGCTCAAACTCATAGACTGTGAGATCATGACCTGAGCTGAAGTTGGATGCTTAACCAAGTGAGCCACCCAGGCGCCCCATCTGCAGCAAATTCTTACTTGACACATCCCCAAATGCAAGAGAATCAAGAGCAAAAATGAACTATTGGACCTCATCAAGATAAAAAGCTTCTGCACGGCAGAGGAAACAATCCATAAAACTAATAGGATCCAAAACCTACAAGGAACTCACCAAACTCCCCACCTGAAAAACAAATATCCAGTGAAGAAATGGGCACAAGACTGGACAGACACTTCTCCAAAGAGGACATCCAGATGGCCAAAAGACACTTGAAATGATGTTCAGCATCCCTCGTCATCAGGGAAATGCAGGTCAAAACCACACTGAGATACCACCTCATGGCGGTCAGAGTGGCTAAAATGAACAAAAGAAAAAAAAGAAAAAAAACTTTCACCTAAAAAAAAAGAAATGTACAAGTTTACAATATGGCCACATCATTTAAATTTTTCCTGTGTAATGAATGCCAAATCATATGTCTTTACTGTCTTTTTTAGTTATGGATTATATTTAATATCTTGTCTTATGTTTATATGTGTATTTGGTTACTCTTCTGTTAAATATTTAATTATCTTACCCTTTTTTTATTAGTTACGTGAGTTTACTGATTTATAGGACTTGTGAATAGCTTCTTGATAGACATTTACTTGTTAATTTGGGTATCAAAAATATATTTTCTAATATTTATTATTACAGTTCCACCTTTGTTGAAGGGGTCCTTAGGTGAACAAGAATGGGTAACTTCTGTCACTTCCCTTACAATCAGTACTTTTGGGTCATTTATAAGAAGTTATTGTACATTCTAGATTGTAAAATGTATTAACCTACATTCTCTGATGACAGTATTCAAGTTTAATTTTAACAACAAATTCCTTAATTTTTCTGAGAAAGGGATCCTATGTCATATTATTAAAACATAAATATTTTTGTAACTTTGGATCCAATGTCATATTATTAAAATATAAATATTTTGTAACTTATTTTGTTGAAAAAAGATTTAATTTTACATACTCCTTTTGAACATATATGAAAATTTGATCCTGTACAGGCCTGTTTTAAGGCACTCATTCTCATACACCTATCAACTTGGTGACAGATATACTAATATAATACTTAATATGTATTAATAAACATAATTTTATAATATATCTGGAGGTAAAGTCCTGCCTTTCTTGTTCAGATTTTTGTCAGTAATTTGGGTTAAAAAATTAGAGGTACCTGTATGGCTCAGTCAGTTAAGCCTCTGACTTTTGTTCAGGTCATGATCTCAAGTTCGTAAGTTCAACCCCTGCATTTGGATCTGTGCTGACCCTAGGGAGCCTGCTTGGGATTCTCTCTCTTTCACTCTCTCTCTTTGCCCCTCCCCTACTTGGCTTTCTCCTTCTCTCAAAATAAGTAAACAAAAAAAATTAAATCATATAATCATGTTCCATGAAAAATCTACTGGGGATATTACTAGAATTATACTGAATGTCTTTATCAATTCTGACATTAAATAACAACTCTATAAACTGTCTTCTCTTTACTAAATATTGTATATCTTTGAAGTTATCTAAATGGTTAATTTTACTTATTATACATACTTTCTATACATACAAATCTCTTGAATATCTTTGGCTACAGACATAGGTAATTTATATTCAGTACTACTACTAGGAAAAGTCTTTTTTTTAATGTTATTTTTTTGACTTGTTTACTTTTCCATTGAATTTTATTATTTTGTTTTAAATGTAATCTATTTCAACATTTTTTGGGGGGTTGGTTCTGCCAAAGTCTTAATGTCTTTGAAGTATTAAAAAATAGTTTAAATATGTTACGTTATTTAAAAGCTGCGCAGGAAGACAAGCAAGTCTAGGGATTTTAAAAATTAAATGCATTATGCATAGTATTACAAAACTTTCTCAAAAAGAAAAAAACCAAAGACTTTCTCTGGCCTTGAAGATAATGATATTAAATGCAGGCTAATTGGAATAATAATTTAATTTGTCTCTATATGTGCTTGCCTGAAATGTACGTTCTCTCACCCAAAGATACAAAAGCACATTACGAATATTCTTACTTTTCCCTCCCTTCCTTACTTCATTTCTTCATTTTTTTTTGTTTTTAATTTTTATTTGCTTATTTAAATTTTCAGAAGAGACAGAGATGCCAGAACATTTCCAAACATGATGCTGCAGAGCCTGAGAGAATCCCAGGCTGCCTTTACTGCTGATGTCTCTCTCCTCCTCCTTTCCTTCCTCCTCCACCCCCCCAACTCCTCCTCCTCCTCCATCCTTTTTCCCCTGAAATAACAGTATTAAAGGAAAATCAAGTTTTACAAATCTATAATATCAATTTACATTTGAATAATTTAATAAATTGAAATAGCAGCATAAAAACTAAAATAAGGTATAATGTTCAACCTATAAAATAATTATAAGAATTTCACATATGTAATAAAATACAGTCCAGGACAGGTAATTTCATCTTTAGTGGGACAGTTTTTAAAATGCATGAAGAGCATTTTTCATTAATGTATCCTGTCTCTGTAACTTTATGTCATTGGGAAATGCCTCAGGAGGTCTTACATGAATGTGACTCAAAAAATGGTTTTCTCTCCCTCCCATTTTCCCCAACCCTGTGCTGGGCACTTTCCTGGCCTTGCCAGGGCTGGTTAATACAGGTAGTGCCCAACCTAAAAATCATACTTTGGCAATACTATCCTTAGGGGACTTGAGTGACACAGTCTGTTAAGAATCCAGCTCTTGAAGCAAAAATAAACTGTTGGGACCTCATAAAGATTAAAAGCTTCTGCACAGCCAAGGAAACAACCCAGAAAATTAATAGGCAACCAACGGAATGGGAAAAAATAGTTGCAAATGACATATCAGATAAAGGGTTAATATCCAGAATCTATAAGGAACTCACCAAACTACACGCCCGAAAAACACACAACCCAGTGAAGAAATGGGCAGAAGACATGAACAGACACTT